ATTATCATTATCATTATCATTATCATTATCATTATCATTATCATCATTATTATTATTTTGCCCCACACCTTAAGAATTGAAATCCCATTGGTCTAGTAAGCTATTTATGTTATGAACTTTCAGTTGCACTCATATGCCTCTCAGTAAATTAAATCCTTGATTACCCAGAATCATTGTGAATATTAAAGACAAAAATGACTTTATTAACAAAAAGGATAATTCCAAATTATACTATGTGGTAGCTATACCACTCAAGGGAGAAACTCTTAAAATTCTCATCCAGGTAGTTTTAAGAGTAATCAACCTTTTATCAGAATTCTGCATTAAAAATTTGTTATTATAATAATGTTGTTTTACATTTTAGATGGGTTATGAGCCTGGCAAAGGTTTGGGAAAGGAAGGACAAGGCATTGTGTTTCCAGTAGAAGCTTTCAAACGTGAAGGTCGTGGAGCATTGGGCAGTTATGGTCCGGAGAGAACCAAGAAAGCCCAAGAGGTATGTAATATTGACAGCACACAGAAGCTGCTAAAAACTGCTGAGTTCCCTGAGCATGAGTAGGTCATATACAGTGGAATCCAGATTTCTTGAACCTTCTAATAACTCTAACCAAAAGTAGTTTTCCTCAACTGAGTGTAACACTGTAATTTTATACCTGATTTCTCGCACTAGCCGATTTTTCAAACCGATTGTTGTTTCCCTTGGAAGTTTTAAAACNAAAAAAAAAATCAGGATTCCACTGCATTAACCAGGGTATTGATTGACACTCGACCGCAGATGCCTTTAGTGCAGATGATCCCAAAAGTTAATAAAATGTTAATTAATGTTATTCTGGAATTAAAACTTAAGGTTTTTGTTTCCTTTGTGTCAGAGTTTTGCCATAGTGGCTTATGGAGTTGTGCATTGCATTATGATTTAAACATCTAGGCTAGGGTCAAAGCAGTAAATTACACCAGTAGTAAATTGTAAAAGGCGACCACATCTGTTTATAGAGGGATCAACACTGAATAAAGGTGAAGTTTACTTTTATTGACTTGTGTTTAATGTTGCCTGCTAAACAGGGGCAAAGACCTCTTACGTGTACATGTTCATTGATTTGTATTGTAATTATTGTACACAGTTACGACCTAACTATGACGAGGAAGAGGAGGAAGATGAAAAGTTTAAAGAGCAACTACAACAGTGGAAGAAAACAGACCGAGATGAGGTGCATAACTGATAGAAAATAATAGAGACGTTACGCAAAACATGATGACAACAGCAATGAGAACGTTGGCAAACAAAATGCTTAATGAGCAGAACAATGGGTCTTCATGTGTGTTATGCACATTTGTACATTTTGCAGCTGTTCATTGCAAATTGACAACTTAAAATGACTAATTTCCAAGGTTTTTGGAGAATGTGAACCACTACGGCTAATATTTCTTATTTCT